TTAAAGTCGGCATGAAATCAAAATTGACTTTATTTACTTTACTAGCGCACATTGCTAGTCTTGATGTGAACAATTAATCCGTGCAAGTTAATCTGCTGAAAAAAATTTTTGTCTTGGTAATCTTTAATCAAAATCTGAACATTTGCTTCTGCTCTGGAATGGCAGTTCTTCTCTGATGATGTCAGTTTGACGGCTTGGGCAGAATATCCTTTTAAACACACCCCTCCAACCGTTAGTTTGATATGAGTGAGAGACAGAGAGGAGGAGCGCCAAAATAAAACCATACCCTCTATTCAATATTCCGTTTCAGAAGGAAATATGTCACTACACTGAAAAAAAAAGTCGGCAGCAACTTCCGGTTCACGTGTAGAGGAGAAACAATAATGTACAGTTTGTGGAAAATAATGTGTTTTTTGAACCTTAAACCGCATAAACACATTTCATTACACCAAATACACAAAATAATGTTCTTTTTAGCAACATCATATGACCCCTTTAAAATAAAATACTTAGTCTTCACTGTATACATTAAATAGGCTACAAAAACTATTCTGTAAAGAGCAGTGAGTGATTTCCCCCCCCTTCTTTTTGTTGTTGTTGTTGTTTGATTAACATTAAGGACACAGACATAAGCAGGTCTATTAGGTTGCTGTCACTTTAATACAGAGCCAATATACTGACCCACACTGGACAGCCGGGTGCATGTGCCCAAAAGAAAATTATAACTTGTGCATTTTAAAAATGATGACGTGATTTTCTTATTGTGCTGTTTTTATATGGTTACATAATTGCAATTTAATTCTTAAGTATTTTTTCTTAAATGTACAGGAAGCACTGAGGAACAGCATTTTTACTTTTTTATTTTATTGCCACAAGAATGTAACACAGAATACAATCATATAATTGATGTTCACTGAGGAAAAAAACCCCACCAGATACATAAAATATGAGCAATCAGCATTATAAAAAACACATGATAACAGTCTTCAGAATTTTTAGATATTAGAATTGTTTGGCTTCGTGATTTCATTCTCAAAAACAATACATATAGGCTTTTGGTTACTAAATTTGCTTCTGTAAATTTGTATTGTTCACGTTCATGTAGCAAATGCTGCCAGTACACCATTTTTTAATGACATTTTCCCATATAGTAAACCATATAGTGAATAAGCGATAATGTACACAAGAAAATATGGTGTCACTTTGGATGATTTTGGTACTTATGTCATTATCTGCAGCCATAAAATCTAGTCTACAAAGCTACATGATATATGACATTATATAAAGCTTTTTAATTTAATTAAGCTTATATGTTTTTACCTTAATGTGCGCATATATTAATTCACTTGTACATGACAAATTCATCTAAACTGAACTAAGATGGACTGCTTTTGTCTGTTGTTGTCATCAGAAACTTGACTTGTAACCCTGGCTTTTGATACAGGCCACTAGTTGGACTGACACTGTTTTTCTTCTTTGCCAGTCTATAGATTTTTAGAGCACCCTTTAATCTTACATGGATTAAACACCAAATATGGATCATAACAAAACTACTTGAGTACAGAGTGCAAAATGTATAAAGTGCTTGTTTAAGACTAAATGGGTATTTTCTTCTGTATGTAGTGTTTTACATTTTATATATGGAGAAAATGTGTAACTGTGTTCCAACGTTTTCATATGGTTCATTATTTGTGCACAATACACAAATCATTTCAGTAAGAAAGTATGCGCTAAGTTAAAAACAACAAATGCTGACCAGATCAAATTGTGAGTCAGATCAAAATTACATGAAAAAGAACCAAAGTCAAACAGTGAAAACACTGATGTCAGAAGAGTTTGGTTCAAATATTTTCAATGTTATAATAAGAGAAAGGGTTTTTCTGAACCATGGGTAGAAAAGGCCATATATGATGGGGTTTATGGTTGAGTTAATGTAGCCTAACCAGACAAATGCTTCAAACAGAGCAAAAGGAGTGGAAAAGTTGATGTAAGGGTCAATCAAAGAGTTAATAAAAAATGGCAACCAGCAAATAATAAAAGTTCCAACGACCACACCAAGAGTTTTTGCTGCTTTGCGTTCAGATCTTCGAGAACTTTTAAACGTGCTCTCATTTTCATGATGGTTTGCCTCACCGATTGTTCTAATGTGCTTTCTGGCAACTACAAAAATTCTTGCATACAGTCCTATCATGACAGAACAAGGCAAGAAAAAAGTTAGTAATGTGTCTAAAACGGACCACAATGCATTGAAAAGCAAAGTGCAACTTCCCATACAGTATATTGATTCAATATATTCCTCCAGTCCTTCCACATTAGCTTTTGAGTACACTAAGCCATAAGAATATAATGCAGCCATGCACCAACTTATCATCACCATGACCCATGCGACAGGTATGGTTATTTTTGTAGGATACAGAAGCGGATAACAAACTGCCTGATGTCGATCAATAGCAATAAAAATTAGATGAAAAATAGACACTGATGTGAGAAATAGGTCAAAACTTGAGTGTAGCAAACAGAAGGCATCTCCATTAAACCCAATTGAGCATCTCTGGAGAGACCTAAAAATGGCTGTCCACCAACGTTTACCATCCAACCTGACAGAACTGGAGAGGATTTGCAAGGAGGAATGGCAGAGGATCCCCAAAGCCAGGTGTGAAGAACTTGTTGCATCTTTCCCAAAAAGACTCATGGCTGTATTAGATCAAATGGGTGCTTCTACTAAATACTGAGCATTTTTCAGTTTTTCTTTTTTAATAAATCTGCAAAGATGTCAACAATTCTGTGTTTTTCAATCAATATGGGGTGCTGTGTGTACATTAATGAGGAAAAAAAATTAACTTAAATGATTTTAGCAAATGGCTGCAATATAACAAAGAGTGAAAAATTTAAGGGGGTCTGAATACTTTCCGTACCCACTGTATATACTGTATATGTGGAATATATAACCATATATATATATACATATATATGACTGAAATGACATTATTTAAATATTCTGTTTGTCCATTATTCAATTATCTTATAAAAGTATAGTTTAAATAAAATTGTGGAAAAAACGTATAAATGAAAGCTCTGACATTTATCTCATGACAAAGACGAAAAATTCATTATTTAATAAAAAAAAAAAAAATCTTGAAGTGAACACCCATGATCTAAATTACTGTCATTGACATGAAGAAGATTTAGGTCTGGCTACTGACACAAATTCACAATTTGATTAGTTTGTGATTTGATTCAATTCTGATATCGATTCGATTCAATATTGATTCATTTGGATATACATCAGGTACAGTACAGTTTTTTTTTTTAAAGGAAAAATTTCTAACTAATGCTGTAATCTATACAGTAAACCCTGTCAGTTGGTACGTTACTATAATATTAAATATTATAGTAATGTAGGATAAAATTAACTGATTTGTTTAGAAACATTTAAATGTCACATAAAGCAGTTGGTAACAACAACAATAACAATAATAATAATAACTTGTTAATATATAGGCTAATTATGTTTCTACTCTGATTAGTTAAAAAAAAATTATAAACATTTCAACTGTGGCTTTCTTAAGAGCTTGTTTTCATGACACATTTATTTAAAGAATTAGATATATTAAATATTTACGAACAGTTTAAAAATATAGAATATGTAATATAGAGCATATTATTAGCAAAACACTCTCTAGAGTTGAGGGACATTGAATAACTTTCCTTAGGTAAAGGTGACGTCTTTCTGCAGTTAAAAGTCTGTGCGATTACACGAGACACGATACGCGAACGCACTAGCACTTAGCTTAATTTGAGGCAGCTACTGCGTTCTGTGGCGCCACATTAAAGAGTGCCAAAACGGTATTTATTATTTAAATTTCGTAATAAAATAAACAATCTGAAAGCTAAGACTTTGTTTCATATCAGAAGTAACAAAGCACACAAAGCATACAGCAATTTATTGGACAGGCGGCACGCTACAAATAGCTAATGTTTAGTGCAGTTTTGTTCACACATCAACTGAAACCAGCAAACTACGATTGATTCTCGGGATTTAAGAATCGATATCGGCTCATGAAAAATCAATTAAAATGGAGGAATCTATATTTCAACCCCCTATTATAAGAATTCTAAGGGATTCCTTTCTCCAGAAAGGCTTTTATAGACATTGGGTTAAATCACACTGAATGTATAAAAAACGACGGTAACACTTTACTTGAAGGGGTGTGCATAAGACTGACACGACACCTTCATAATCATGACATGACACATGTCATGAATATGAAGGAGGTTTTATGTTATTGCTCAACTAGGAGAAAGTGTTGTTATTCATGCCAAGGTATATAAATTGAATTCGGTTTTTGCATTTGTAGTCCCTTTCTGACCCCTAGCTGAGTTAAATAACTTTTGGTAGCACTTTACTTGAAGGGGTGTACCCTTATCCCTAACCATAGCCCATAACAAAGACATCTCAAACAATGTCATCTTTGCATTAAAAATTGCATAACTGAGCGAATGACACTTAATGACAGTTGTCATAAACATGCATAAAAAACCTTCATATTCATGACATGTGTCATGTCATGATTATGTAGGTGTCATGTCATGATTATGAAGGTGTCATGTCAGTCTTATTCACACCCCTTCAAGTAAAGTGTAACCAAAACTACTGAATAAATGTGCCTTAGCTTTTATATTAGATTAAAAATCTGCAGTATTTTTTTTTTTTTATGTTTGTACCATCAGATCAGAATTCAGGTTGTTTTTTCATCATTTGGGAGGCAATATGTATTTCATACATAAGGCATAGTGTGCCAGAATTACTTTATTTTTGCTCATATTTTCCTCATATACTGAATGAAGGGGCGGTTTTTGGACCTAGTAGGGCCTGTATCTATGAATGTTTAGAAATAGAGTCCTACTTGCTTTGCCACTTATGTTATCTCATGCACCAAAAGACTTTAGCACCACAATGATACAGCACAATAGGTGTGACACAGCACATTTATGTTTGTGCTTGACACATTCAGTTATACTAAACTAAGATGGACTGCTTTTGTTTTTGATTTTCCAAAAAGTTGAGTTTTTTATGTTTTATATAGGCGTATTTTGCCAGGATACAAATTCAGATTGTAGATCATCTTTTAATTTTGCACAGATAAAACACATGCAATTTACACTATTCTTTAGTTTATGCTATTTGCACATTTTGATGTAAATGATTTCAGTAAGTATAAAAATTTCAATTGTTGTCCAGTGTGCTGCACAGTGACGTGAGACTGAAATTAAATCAAACAGTGAAAACATTAATATCAGATGAGTTTGGTTCAAATATTCTCCTTGTTATAATGAGAGAAAGGGTTTTCCTAAACCATGGGTAGAAAAAGCCGTATATGATGGGGTTTATGGTTGAGTTAATGTAGCCCAACCAGACAAAAACTTCAAAGAGTGCAAGTGGGGTGGAAAAGTTGATGTAGGGATCCATCACAGAGTTAATAAAAAATGGCAACCAGCAAATGATAAAAGCACCCACAACCACACCGAGAGTTTTTGCTGCTTTGCGCTCAGATCGCCGAGAGCTTTTAAACACATTCTCAGTTTCATGATGGTTTGCCTCACTGATTATTCTTACATGTTTTTTTGCAACTACAAAAATTCTAACATACAGTCCTATCATGACAGAACAAGGAAAGAAAAAAGTTATTAACGTGTCTAAAACAGACCACAATTTACTGAAAAGCAGACTGCAACGTCCTATACAGTATATTGATTCAATATATTCCTCCAGTCCTTCCACATTAGCCTCTGAGTACAGCAGACCATATGAATAGACTGCAATCAGAGCCCAACTTATCATCACCATGACCCATGCGACAGGTATGGTTATTCTTGTCGGATACTGAAGTGGATAACAAACAGCCTGATGTCGATCGATAGCAATACAAACAAGATGCAAAATAGACACTGATGTGAGAAACAAGTCAAAAGTGGAGTGTAGCAAACAGAAGGCATCTCCATAGTACCAGCAGCCACCCACAGAACGGATCATACTGAAAGGCATGACCACCAGTCCAAGCAGCAGGTCCGCTAGAGCCAGAGACATCACCAGGATGTTAGTGGGAGTCTGGAGCTGTTTGAAGTGTGCGATGGAGATGATGACCACCAAATTTCCAAGAATGGTCACAGTCATCGCCAACACCAATAGGAGATACACCACAGTCTGAGTGGAAACATGATGTGTGCCTTTAAGACAAGAGTTGTTCACTGCAGGAAAACAAAACTGAGTGGGATCGTATTCTTGTGATGATAAATCCATCCTGCCTTCGTCTTCGCCTCAGAAAATACAAATAGTCGATTCTGATTCAGTTGGACTAGTTAGGCCCTAAAATACACTTCATGCTTTTTTGACCCTCCCACATCATCATAGAGCAGCAAATGATCAACAAGCACTTATTAAAAATTAAAAATATACACTCTCAAAAAAAGGAACAAAAGTTTCACTGGGGCGGTACCCTTTTAAATGGAACTAATATGTGACCCTGTCTGTAAAATCCAGGCTAAAGTCTCAAAATCTAATTATTAGATAACAAGCATCAAAGTTTGATTTCAACCATTAATTTCACTATGATTTCAATCCTTGACATGGCCTTACTCAGTCAATATTAAAGATATAAAGGTTATATTTTCACAGAATGCTTGTGATCTTTGATCTTTATGAAGGATGGTTTTATGTAGAAAACTGTAAATCACAAAAAATTACTTTAGCTGGGTTTTCACAGGCAGGGTCACATATGTCACTTTACGTATTAATATGCACACTTTAAGTATTAGTATGTACCTTTAAGAGTGTCAAATTCAGCTTCCGGAGGGTCACTGTCCTGCAGAGTTTAGTTCTTACTCTAATTATACACACATAAACCAGCTAATAAATGTTCTCAGGATTACTAGAAACTTCCAGGCAGGTGTTTTGGAGCTGGTTGGAGCTATACTCTGCAGGACAATGGCCCTCCAGGATCAGAATTTGACACGTGCTTTAAGGTACTACCATTTAGGGGTGAATAAGATACAGATATGTACCTTTGGGCTTTTGTACTTTAGGGTACCGCCCAGCGACAGCTTGTACATTCTTTCTGAGGGTGTACCATCTGAAATTACATTAAAGTTTTTGGTTTGTCCATAAATGAAAGCTATGCAGTTTTAGCTGAAAAAAATCCATTCTTTTTTACTAGAAGAATTGTGATCTATTTAATGGTCTTCCCAAAAGACAAACAAATCCTATGAATCAAAATGCAGCACCACGGATCATAACATAGCATGCCATTTTCTGGTTAACCGCACAGAAAGACAAAAAAGCAAACAAGCTTTATATGTTACATCAGGGGTAGCCAATGTCAGTCCTGGAGAGCTATACAGTCCTGCAGAGTTTTGCTCCAACCTTGATAAAAACTCACCTGCTTGTAGCTTTCTAGTAACCTCTAGACCTTGATTAGGTTGGGGTGTGTTTGATTAGGGTTGGAGCAAAAATCTGTAGGACTGTGGCTCTCCAGGACCGACACTGGCCACCCCTGTGTTACATACTGTAAATATTATTAAACAATTTAACCCTCAGTCTTATTTTTGCCCTGAACATTAAAGATGTCTTGGGCCAAATTCATAAACTGTGTTTGATTAGGGTTGGAGCAAAAATCTGTAGGACTGTGGCTCTCCAGGACCGACACTGGCCACCCCTGTGTTACATACTGTAAATATTATTAAACAATTTAACCCTCAGTCTTATTTTTGCCCTGAACATTAAAGATGTCTTGGGCCAAATTCATAAACCTCCCCTTTAAAAAAAAAAAAAAAACCAATATACACAGTATATTTAATTTTCTCCACTTTATCAAGGTAACACTGTATAAACTACAATATACATCTTCAGCCTTATAATCTAATTTAAAAATCTCTGGAACGGAACACCCACGAGCAAAGATGGCAGCAAGTAGATCATGTATTTGAGATAAATAAAAACGCAAAGGAATGACTTTCTCCTGCAAAGCTTTTAAAGGCTTTCTTTGGCTGGAAGGAAATACTTAATGTACAGAAGCCTACTGAAGAAATATGCCCTAAGCTTCAGCATACCACTTTTGTACACTGAAAACTGAATAAAATATACATTTTAAAAATGTCTGAATCATAAAATCAGAGTTCAGATAGTTTTTTCATTATTCAGCATGCAATGTGTATTTAACATAATAAGTGTGCAGAGATCTGATTTTAGATCACCTTTTAATTTTGCACAGAATAAACATCTGATTTTACACTTTTATTTATGTGATTTGCAAAGGAAATGTGCTGCACAAATGGAATCAAACAGTAAAAACATTGATATCAGAAGAATTTGGTTCAAATATTCTCCTTGTTATAATAAGAGAAAGGGTTTTTCTGAACCATGGGTAGAATAGGCCATAAATGATGGGGTTTATGGTTGAGTTAATGTAGCCTAACCAGACAAACACTTCAAAGAGAGCAATTGGAGTGGAAAAGTTGATGTAAGGGTCAATCAAAGAGTTAATAAAAAATGGCAGCCAGCAAATAATAAAAGCACCCACAACCACACCTAGAGTTTTTGCTGCTTTGCGCTCAGATCGTCGAGAGCTTTTAAACATGTTTTCGTTTTCATGCTGGTTTGTCTCACAGAGTTTTCTAGCGTGCTGTTTTGCGATCACAAAAATTCTTGCATACAGTCCTATCATGACAGAACAAGGCAAGAGAAAAGCTATTAATGTGTCTATGGCTCCCCACAATGCATTGAAAAGCAAAGTGCAACTTCCCATACAGTATATTGATTCAATATATTCCTCCAGTCCTTCCACATTAGCTTTTGAGTACACTAAGCCGTAAGAATATAACGCAGCCATGCTCCAACTTATCATCACCATGACCCATGCGACAGGTATGGTTATTCTTGCAGGATACTGAAGTGGATAACAAACAGCCTGATGTCGATCAATAGCAATAAAAATGAGATGAAAAATAGACACTGATGTGAGAAACAAGTCAAAAGTGGAGTGTAGCAAACAGAAGGCATTTCCATAGTACCAGCAGCCACCCACAGAACGGATCATACTGAAAGGCATGACCACCAGTCCAAGCAGCAGGTCCGCTAGAGCCAGAGACATCACCAGGATGTTAGTGGGAGTCTGGAGCTGTTTGAAGTGTGCGATGGAGATGATGACCACCAAATTTCCAAGAATGGTCACAGTCATCGCCAACACCAATAGGAGATACACCACAGTCTGAGTGGAAACATGATGTGTGCCTTTAAGACAAGAGTTATTCACTGCAGGATAACAAAACTGAGTGGGATCATATTCCTGTGATGATAAATCCATCCTGCCTGTCTCAGTCTTAGAAAACAAAAACCTATAAAATTCTGGCCTAGATGGACTACCAGTATGTTAACAGTGAGT